GAACGATGCAAAAATTAAAATAATATTTATTACTCTTCTAATGTGAACAATCTCTTTGCAAAACTTTCAAATTATGATAAAATTTTTTATTATATCCTTTTTTTTTTTAACATTTTCTTTTAGAAATTGTTAGTCATAAAAACATCGTAACAGTAACAATTTTATGACCCTAATTGTTTTAAAATCTTTAAACAGATACACATGGCATCCTACTAAATTTTAGAAAGTACAGGTACAAATGAATAGCATTTTCGTAGTATATTTTAATCTTATTATATATTCATGTTTATGCCATCCTAAAAATCATCTTTAAGAAAAACTTAAAGATGTTTATGAATAATTTTGACGTTCCTGCTGTTTATTGCATTAATGACATATACGTATAATAATAATGCATAATATGAAAAATAAATAAATAATACCATAGGAACTTTTGTAGCTACAAATCGCTAGCAAAATACGACGTAGCCATGTTTTTTGTTCATCCAGATTACCTCGCATCATGGATACATATGCGTACGTACATTACCTGCATAATATACCCTACGCATCATTTATTTCGTCTTTCCTTTTTCGCCCTCCTTGCAGTCAAACCAGAAAATCGCACCTTAGCAAAATCTCAACGTGTCGAAGTTCCCGTTTTCTAATATAACTTAAAACCTTTTAATTAAACTTCTTCCTATTCCCTTCTCCACCCTTCAAAATGTCTGCCCCATCATCAGCCCACTACGACCCAAGAGTCGCTGCCCTCTTGCAAAATACCTTCGGAGACTATATGACGAAACCGACCATTGTAGGTGAATGCTCATGCAGCTATGCCCTAAACGTTTTTCTCGGATTGATGTTATTCAATGTGATGATATACCTGTCCTACGTCGTCGGTAAAAAGGTAATAAGGCAGAAGAGACAAAATGGCAAACACAGCAAATTATCAATATATATATTATATGTTACTAAATACGAACAACCTCCAAATGCGTGTACAAATATTGTCGCAGTTCTTTTTATCCCTCCCTGTGGTCCACCCGTTTAACAATTAATATTCCCTTTGCACATTCCTGAATTTTAGGAAATTTTCCAAAAACTTAAATACCACGGATATTATTAAATGGATGAGAGAAGAAAAAAAAAAAAAAAAGAAAGGAAGAAAGAAAAAGGACTTTACAATGATATATGTACAAGAAGAAATGCATCATTCGTATAATTGATACCTGACCATAAAATCGTAGCAGAGGACATATGTATATTTTGCATACATGTATATATGGACATCTTCGCATCAGAAAGAGCGCACGTATCAGATGAGAAGAACACACCTTGTGGCTTCTGGAGTCAGGGGAATTACCCCTTTGTGCATCAGGAGAACACGGAATATATGATATACACACTTTATTATGCAAACACATATTCCATTATATAATTTACATATATAAATATATATATATGTGCAAAACCTTCGTAATTGGTCCTTACTACAATTCAGCAAAATGAAGGTCACATCTCGGAATAATATATTATGTTTCTATATTCCTTTCGAAGCAGCAATATTTCTGAAGCTTGTCGTACACCTATTTATGGAAAAAAAAAGTCGTGTCCTATATATTAAGATCTAAGAGCTACATTATGTTTTTTTTTTTTTTACTTATGTTAATAGAGAATTATATGGTACTACATTATATGATGTGAATTTTTGCTATTAATCCTTTCTTATCATGATATATTGCTTTATGCACATGAATGATAACTGTGCAGATAATATATGCATGTATGTATGTATATGTTCATTTTCTATGTTTTAATTCATCAAAGGTTGAAATGAATGTTTTTTATCTATTTCTTTTAATTAAATAGAAATTTTTCTCTTATTACATACCCTATATATATATGAGTTCTATTTTTTCATAAAGAATGCAGAAAAAATAAAAAAAATATTAACATGCATATATTATATTTTTGAATGTTTTTTTTTTCTTTTTTTACATATATGTATTAATTTCATTGGAGTCAAAAGACATCATTGTTTTTATAAATTTGACAAAACAATATCATAGTATAAATCAAAAGCGTTTTGTATATTATACATTATACCCCACAGTGGACATGTATACAACACGAGAGATGTACATAGGCAGCGTAAAGATGTAAATGTTGAAGCTAAAGCTTCCTGAAAATACAAGAAAAGGGGTGTGACTTTTCTAAAGATAAAAAATAACTTGAATCTTTTTTCATTAAAGGGAATTTCATTTGTAACACAAATGGCGTAACGGCTGAAGGGGCTTTTCCATCCCGGCTTATTGCGCACCTTGCTCACACAATGATGCATATCGGGTGAGCTAAAGATATACGTAAAAATGTCCACATTTTCGTTAAAGAACTAGCCTCCAAGCGTATCCTTTTCGTTTTTTATGGTAAGCCCAACATGCAAAATCGGCATGTACGTGTCATACCTACGAAGGTACTGTGCATATGTCCAGGTATACGTACTGCTAATCCGCAGATGTGTCCTACATTACAACGTACAACCCCCACAACACAGACACAGCAGTTGCAATAAAATTTTAAGAAGCTACCACATAACTAGTAAATAATCTGCTACACCTCTTAAAAATAAAGAATAAAAAATGCAATATGTAAAAATTTTCTCTCCTTGCGCCAAAAGTTATTACCCCCCTTATAATGAGGTAACTGGAACTCCTTACACATTCGTAGCCACAGTTCGTCTCTACTGGTTCCTCCTTCTTTCATTAAATAACGTTTTTTTACCTTTAGTTTAATCATTTTAAAAAAGCGGAATGGAAGCCTATCGCAGCACTGTGAAGCAGCTGCGATAAACGAATCAGCAAAATGAATGGGGCATTCCTAGATAAATTCCTACACATTTCGTCATGCGAACACGTAAAAAAAAAGAAAAAAAGGGATTTAATAAATTCCCTTTTACCTTTTTAATCCTAGCTCACGGCAATATCATTCCCACTAACAAGCTTTTTCTCTTTTATGAGTTATATAAAAGGGACATTAGCATCAGATAGTTCCACTAACGGCGGTGGACGAGGGCGAACACCCTTACGTGTAAGTACAAAGAAATAAATATTTTATTCACCATTGAAAGCATTTTTATTCCACTTTTGTATAACGACTCGTCGTTAAACGCTATGCGGCAGGTTTGGTTCATCGATAGCAAACTAAACTCGTCTCTCACGAATAGCCGCCACAAGTAAGCATAAACAAGCAGGCAACAAAAATCGTTGAAAAAAGTTCACTACATATGTTATCATTTAAACGCCATACCACCTACTCCCAAATGATGATTTCTTATTATAATACTGTACACAAATGAGCGTAATTTTTTCGCGGCTTGAAATGAATTAACAGGTTGTCCAATTCTGTTTATTCTATTAGAAAATTTAAAAGCGGATTATGGTTATCACTTTATATGTAATGAACTCCACGGGAAACCAATATTATAGGCTTCTTCTCCCTCTCCGTAAGGCATTTCCAAAAAAAGGGAAAGACTAACAATACTATCACAGTACCAATAACAGGGGAAAATAGGCTATATCTACCGCACAATCTTCTCCTCTTTTTACAAGAAGAAAAGACAAGAAAGACGAATATTTAGCTTCTATTCGGCTGGATTACAGCTGCTGGGACGCCGACGCCCATCGTTAATAGTATTATGTACACAAGAAGTTGCACCCAGCTGAAAGTGATTAGGACGAATGTCATTTAAGAAAAACATGCGATATTACTCCAGTGAAGCATTAACCTTTCTGTGAAACTCTTAGGTACATAAAAAATAACGTTCGTTCGCACGTTGCTGTAGGAGTAAACATATTCATACGGTTGTAATCATTGATGGGATGAAAAAAGTTTCTTGGAAATGCTAACCAGTGCACATATGCATATGGATGTACGTACTTATGTATTTCCTTATGTGCGCAATTTATGACAGACTCAGGTATTTAAAGATAGCTCATTAAAAATGAGTGATGCTGGTAAAAAAATATTTTTTTTTCCTTTTAGCGTTCATTGAAAGGACAAAGTTCTTCACAAAACATGATGACTTTTAAGTGTTCCCCCAAAAAAAATCAATTCTTTTGTCTAAAAACAGGATTAGCACGTTTCCAGATGAACTCCCATTTCAGTCAACAAAAGAGGATAGAAATATGTTAAAAATGAAAGAATATATGTTCATGTGAATAAATACACAATGGGAATACTAGTGGTGAAACGAATTATCTTCCTTTTCACATCCAAACACTATGAGGTTCTAGAGAGTATCAACATAATAAGGAACAAAGAAAGAAAAAAATCGTCATTTTTGGGTAAACTGCCGAATATACCCCATGAAAATGAATTTAAAAAATTTTATCCTTGCAAAAAAATGTTAAATTAGAAATCTGCAGAACATTTTATATGACAAATGCATGATGCACTTATGTGCACATTACTACGTATGCTCCTTTTTGACAATTTTTTCTTTCGAAACATTGGTCATGAAATTTCTTACCAAAAAATGTATTGCTTTTATAGCTATATGTTTCATCAGGGGAATATTTTCTTCACATATTTTTTGGTTCTTTTTCAATTTTTTTTTAGGTAATAAAAAGGCATTTACGAAAAAAGTGTATGTCTTTCTACTCAAGACAGTTGGGGAAAAAGTCGTTTGCGTGAGAAATAATCTACACGTGTAACCTACATATGCGTATGTACGTGTGTAGATAAGGTATATATACGCGCGTATTTTTTTTCCCCTTCCTTAACTCTTATATGTTGTCTGTAACCGTAATTGTGTATTAAAGAATTTTTTTAAAACGCTATTCATGGCTAAATACATACACACACATGTACTATCGATAAATCACGCGTACATTGGTTATGAAGACGCGGAGAGGGACAATTTTTTTTTTTACTCCATAATTCTAAATAAAATTCACATTTTAATTTGTTCTAACAATTATAATTCTATTTAGCTCTCTTTAGCTGTGTTTAACTTTGTTTAATTCAATTTAATTTTTTTCTTCTTTTTTTTTTTTTTTTTTATACATGTATGTAAGGATGTACGTATTTCTTCACGTATGCGTGCACCTAGGGGTTTAGTTTTTATTTCCCTTTTTTCCTTGATCCACGTTGTCCAGAGTGTGTGAATTTAAAAGAAAAAAAAATATTCAATCCGTACATCTTTCTTTTGGCAACGCGCTCTTAATGTTTTGAACGAATTTTTACAACTCACGCGATTTTTTCGTCACCAGAGTAACTTTTTTTTTTTTTTTTATATTTAACAATCCATGCATTTATGTACGTGTGTAAATATGTTCTCATGGACAACCCTTCCTGAACCATCCAAATTAGACTAGTTTACCACATGTAACACTTAGAACAGAATCTGAAAAAGTCTCCTCGTAGAAGTATAATACGCTGGAATTTTTTCTTATTTTTTTTCCCCTCCCTTTTTACAATGAAAAAGTATTGGTTTTGCATTTCAGCTTTTTATTTATTTTTTAACATACTATCAAAATGTAAAGAAATAGAGAATAGAAACCTTGAAGTTTTGGCCACCTATAGACGAGATGACAGCTCAGGTAACAAATGCCCTTATCGGGGGGGCACGTCTTGTCTGGCAGCTTACGTTTATTTTGTCTATTCGATATGCACGTACGCATGACCCTATGTATACCTCGCACACTGTCTTCGTTTACCCAGCATGGGCACAAATTAGGGCGCATTTGCAATTACGTGCATTTTATTTTCAATCCGAGCGCAAGGAAGAAAATTTCCCGTTCCAGCCGTTGTGCAGAGCGTATCTGCCCGATTTTTTTTCTCTTCCAATTTTTGTGATTCACCAAATGTGTCCATTTCGCATAGCACCTTTTTTTCCTATTCTTTCTCCACACAAGCATGTGATAAAAGTGTGCACAACGACTCAGCATACTTTCTAACAAGATGTGCACGTATCAACGCGCACATGTACCTGTTTTCTCAAGTACACACAGATCCTCCCCTGGTCAATCACTAACGTTCTTCTTTATGTTAAAACCATCTGAACTACCTCGCAGGGAATTCTTTTAAAAACAGAGAAGCGGAAGGGAAACACGATGTCAAAATTAATAACGGGGCTAATTACAATGAATACTCTTTTTTATCGTTAAAGGCTAGTTCTATATTTAACCAGTATTATGTGGCCAAGTTAATTAATACTATGCTGTATAGGGGACTGGTCACAAGTAGGGAAAAAAAGACAGAGGCAACATCGTAAACACGTGAAAGCGTGCACACGAGCATAGAGGCACATAAAGCTCTGCAATTTTCACCTTTTCATGTTTGCGCTATTTACCAGTTTTCATTCTTCTCCACACGCGTAGCGGAACACCAGAAAGGAATGAACTACTTCAATACTACTAACCGTTACCTTTTGTAGAGGGCAAGTTTCACAAGAATGTTGCCATTTATGAGTCTCTCTCTCGTACCAACTACTTTTTCTACCTAACTGTAATGAATAAGAAAAATGTGAAGAAAATTGTCAAATTAATATCTAAGGCACACGATTCAAGTAATAGGACAAAAAATAAGAAAAAAAATAACCGAAGCAGTTAACGATAAGTTAGACTCAACCTGCTCTGAGTATATAAATACAAGTTAACAACTCATTCTCCTATCCTCCATCCTACACCCCCCCGCTTCCACTCCTATGCAGGGAAAAAACATGATGTTTTCAGGAGACAGCTAATAGCCTACTTTGACAGCCCCCCTTTCCCACTGGACAATACTTTTAAAGATGAAATGGACCATGCACTAATAATATACAATAAAGCAAAAAGTTAGGAAGGCAAATAATAAAGCGCAAGAGGGTGCGAATTCGCTGGCACCACACGATGCGCAACTCTTTATCATCACACGATGCGCAACTCTTTATCATCACACAATGCACATCTCTTTATCACCACACAATGCGCATCTCTTTATCACCACACAATGCACATCCTTTTTTTCTTTCATGCCACCCCTCTTCCTTACACTCAAAAACTTGTTCCCGTAGCTGACTCCTACTGGACCATGGTCGACGGATTAAAAAATGATGGGCTTCTCGTAGCAAGAACCTTTATGGCCGTGTCATTCGTCCAAAGTCTGAGAGGAATTATTGGACTTGTAAATAGCAAATTGATAGACCTGTGTTTTTCAAGATCCTATCTGTACAACCACATCGCCTCCTTTGATAACCTGATAATGAACAACACTTTTGGGGTCATCGTGTCTTATGTGTTCAAATCGTGGCTGCTATTTTTTTACCCCCTCATGGCTCCATTCCGTGGAGCCGTGTCCTTTGCCTTATCGTCCTTCTGCATTACGCAGTTAAGCAAAATAGTATTCATAATCTATAGAAATATCAAACGGCTCGTTCGAATATCCTACCGAAGGTTATATAGCACCATTTTGAAGTGTAAGTGGAGAATGTCACATTCCTGTGAATATATATATGCGTGTGTTTGCACGAGACTGTAGGCCAGCGCACACCTCATCGCACGGATCTCTAATTTCTCTCATCTTCCCCATGTTTGCCTCTCCCCCCTTCCTTAGTCAACTTGATGAAGTTCCCAGAACTCCAGCCGTACGCCTCGAAACTGCTATACGGAGACGCCTTAATCTTAGTGTCCAATATTTGGAAATTATCCTACGTAAATGTCACTGAACATTTAACCGGAAAAAATATAACCCCCATTTTGAACAACCTGTTTGAGAAAAACCTTGGCACGGGCTTTTTTGATTTCAGTAATTCGCTCTTTAAATATGTCATAGACTCCATGCAGGACATGCAGTTGATAAGTGTAAGTGTGTGTGTCGTTTTTAAGTGTCTTCCTGTTGGTGCATGAGGAGGGTTCTTATCCGATTCACAAACACGACACTTAGCAGCGTCCCCACGTCATAACTAACTTCCTACAACGCGCAGACCAAAGAGGCAAACTTGGATAAGGAACCCCAGTACAACACGCAGACGTTCAAGAGGATCTTGATGATCCTGAAGATCACGAGAAAATTGCTTTACTATGAAGAGTCGTACATGAGACTAGCCGTGGCAAATCTTCTAACAAAAATTTACACATTGCTCTTCGTCAACGTAAATTATATCAGCAAAATGCCCCCCAAGGAATTCTTTCAGGCTGACGTAGAGTCGGAATTTAGATACATATATGAGGATCAAACGTATGAACTGTTTTTACAAAGAATCTCTTCTGATATTAATAGAAAGCCATTTATAAAAAGAAACATTAGAAGAATCAATAGAGGCAGCATAGAATTTACTCTGTCCATTCTCAAGATAAAACTTCTCCACTATAAGCCGTCATTAAAGTTCCCATACAGCAGCTTATACTTCGATGAACCTTTAAAAAAGCAGTTAAACGCTTCCATGAAATTGATCATTATAGGATCAACAGGAATTATAGCCAATCTTGTAAATTACGGAGAAAACTATGACATACTTAAAAAATCTCCCCTAGAATTAACTAAAAATTTGAACCAGGCACATAATTACAGCACGTTTGACGTAAAAAAAATGCTCTTCCCATTGAACATTTTTATTAATCTCTTAATTCCTCTCTTCTTAAATTACAACGATATTATGATAAGGAAAGATATAATAGAACATATGGTCACTTTTTTTAACGTCATTGTGGATTCTAAAGATTTATACCTTTATCAATACTTAAAAAATGTCGTAGACACTATAAAAAAAACGGAAGCTGCCACTTTGACAGAAATAAATTATGACGAAGAAATTAATAAAATTATTTTGGACGAAATTCATAAAGTTATAGATGAAGTGAATAATGAAAAAACCAATTCTCTAGTTTTTCATAGTTATTCCATGACAAATAATGATCTTTATCTGCACAATAAGGATGGACAATTGTTTAAATTCCTCTTCAACGATAGCAACAAGAAAGACGCCTTTTCTAGACTTGTACACATTAACGATTATAGAAACCCTTTATCCTTTCAAGTCCCATTAATTAAATTTGAGCCTTCCAACAGGAACGATGGAAATTTGGTTGTGGGCTCACTTTTGGACAAATTTGAAGGAACGTTGAGGGGGTGCTATATGTGCCTAAAGGAGGACGACGATTTATTGGTTGTTGATATGATTCACCATGTTCTTTGGGCGTCAGGGGTCGATCGATTTAGTGCCTACATTGTAAGTCTGTTGAGAAAGAGCTAACGTGCAAGCGAACAAAAATGTGCCTTATTGGAAGTTGTTTCCTCGTGAAATCTCTCTTCCTCATAGACGTGTCACTTCAATTGAGCTATTTTTCCCCTTCCAACCCTCCTGCAGCTCTCCTCCATGATCGGAGCGGTGAAGAAATACTTCCACCAAGGAGTCTCCTGGAATAGAGCCCTCCTAAACATGGGTCCAACCGAGTTCTATGAAATACACAGGATATTCATGGAAAGGACTCCACAGGCGAAAGACAGGTCTCAAAACGTATTTATAAAGCGAATTAGAAGATATAGATTCAATCTAAACCAGACAAAATTCGCCAAAATGTTTAAGGTATTTTTGGAAAATGTGTTAAGAAAGGTAAACTTTTTCAACACAGAAGAGGCCACCATCATTTTGATCATGTCAGCATTATATTCTCTCTACAAGAACATTGAAAAGCATGAAATTCCAACAAGTGAAACTTACAAGTTCTATCAGCAGAAACTGATAGAGGCATACTACCCGGCTAAATACTACGCCCACAACTATGAGTCGCACACCATCCGCTTGCTAAAGGAGAAGCAAAAGGAGTATGCCTCCGATGACGAAAGTGGCGACGAAAATAAGAACGATCAGGATAAGAAGGATGGAACGATCAGTGCTTCTGAGAAAGCAGATGGTAAAGAAGCAGAAAAGCCTCCAAAAACGCAGAAAATGGAAGTGCAAATCGAACTTCCCCTAGACGACGAGCTTGTGCAAAGCACCAAGTCCCTACAGCAAGAAGTAGAATCAAGGGAAGAAGAGAGGAACAAAATTTTAGCCGAAATAGAGTCAAAACATGGGCAACTGTCACATAAGGAGAACTTCCCCCATTTGCCCACAAAATGTATGTTCCTTCTTTACTACGATTTCGCTCCCTTTATTAAAGACAACATAAAAGGCATAGAACAAGTGTTCAACACTTTAGACGGAAGTCTCATCGATATGAATCACGTAATGAATATAGAACGTATACAGACGCAGAAAACCAAGTATGCCTCAATTGATGAGAAAAATTTGATAAATATATTATGCGGTACGTATTTATTTTTAAAAAAGGAAAATATTTCCATTGAAGATATGTTCAAATACGGTAATGCGAATTCTGCTGTGAAGCACTTGCTGATAATTATGTCCTTACTCAGAATAGAGAAAAAAACTGACCGATACACCTGGAAAAAATTTTTAACTTTGGAAAAATTCTTAGATGAAAGGGAAAAGATTTATAAAACGCCCATGAAATATCTGTACATGAAATTGTTAAATGTGAAGAGGGTTTTTGGCTTTACCCGAAGAAATCTGTTAATGTCGTTTGGAAAGAGAATTAAGGGAACCAGATTCATGAACATATTAAGATATACCAAATTCTTCGAAATTTTAGAAAAAGCTGAATCTATTAATCTTAGATATCCACTGTTATACATCAAATTTGAGGACATAATGACATTCGCTAATGTGTTCCACAAATTTAAATTTCCTATTATAAAATACACTTCCAATCAACAGACGCTGCGAACCATGTTGAACCAATTCAAGTTATCTCCCAACACTTCAATAAATAATGAGAAACTTATACTGCGAATTTACAGAATTATCAATTTAATAATAAAGAAAAAGTATGATTATGATTTAAATGAACTCAGGAAGGACAAAAAATACCTTGATCTCTATGCACAAAATAAAAGTGATCATATTCTAAATGATATAAAAATTAAGCCAATAGTGGATCAGTACCTATCTCAGCTAATTGGATTCATAAAGATGTTAACAGATATGAAATTTACAAACTTTTTATTTTTGAGAAATTTTTACGTCTTCATAAAATTCTATGCAGTAACGGGAGATTTAGATTATTCTATGAACAGCTCCGTCTTCTACCTGGCCAGCAGAAATTACCTAAACTTTATCCTTAACTCTATCACCGAATTTGAGAACTTTAAGAAGTTTATAGAGAAAATGAAAAGAAACAACGACATCAAGAAGTACCCGATCGACCATTTCAACTTCCACACGGAATGCTACGCAGTGGATGACATCAAAACGTATGTCTTTATCCCCGAAGATAAAGAAAAATTAAACAAATACTATCAAATTATGACGTATGACATTAACAGCTTCTACAAGAACTACTTATTAATAGACCTATTTTACGACGACTTAGATGTAAAAAATTTAGAAATCTATTACCAAAAAATTTCCAATGCTACTGATTACAATATCGGTCCCACGTCAAATATATACATCCCTGGTCGAACAAAAATAAGTCAAGGCATTCCAAACAAGGATGTTGAGATGCTAAACGAAACGGTGAAGAATCATGTTTATCTAGAAAAATTTCTGGACAAGACTAACATCCCATCCATCCCATTTTCCGATTTTAACATGGCGCGAGACATAAATGGAATCACTTTTAATTTCACCAACAGAGCTACGACACCACCTTTTTATAAAGAAAATATTCTAGACCAATTTGATATTATCGGAAAATCTATCGTAGGGAGATATTACCAAAAGGTTAAGTGCTCTTTTGTTACCTACCCTTTTAATTTGTACTACTGGCTGGTCTTGAATCCAGGAAAACCTCGCGTAGAAACGGTAGGTAAGGTCGGACTGATCAAGGAAGCAGATTTAATGTCCAAAACAGATGAAGAAAGAGAGTTAGAAGAACACAAGATTGATGAACAAGTAGTGGAGGATCTCTTTAAGGAAGAAGTGGAAGCGGCGGAAGATGTCATGGAACTGGACGAAAATTTGCACCATACATCTGCATCGGAAGCAGATATATCAGGGTCAGAATCCGAGGATGATCTTGTGGACGTTGGAAAGGATTCTAAGCCGGATGAAAACTCCCTGTCCCATGTGAGCACCGCGTCTGATTTTTCCACCGGGTCGTTGGAAAGCGTCGCCAGTACCGCCTACAATGGATCCACCGATACTCTCGTAAGTGCCTCCTCCAATGAGTCCACCGATACTCTCAGAAGTCCCTCCTCCACTGGATCCACCGATACTCTCAGAAGTCCCTCCTCCACTGGATCCACCGATACTCTCAGAAGTGCCTCCTCCACTGAGTTCACCACAACCGCCCGAAGTGACAAATCCGGCACAGGAATTATCTCAGGATCGACAAGATCGATCAACTTCCTACAAAGGGCCAACAAGGAAAACACCGATTGGGAGCAAACAATTTTGCAAGTGACAAAAGAATCAGAAAGAAGAAAGAGGTCCAACCAAACAAACGGTCTAAGTTTCCTGCAAAAAAAAGAAATGAATCCATTCCCATTTGTCGACACCATGATAAATGAAAGAAATAAAAACGTGACTAAAGAAAAATATGGATATTTTAACAGACCATACAACATGTATGTTAATAAAACAAACATATTTAGAAACTTCAACGTCATAATGAAAATTGTGCATACCATAATTTCGTTAAACAAATTTTCTGTTGTTTCTCCGGTGGAGATAATCAAAAAGGGGATCAGCATTATGAAGAGGAAAAATAAATTTATAAAGAGCCACCATTTGAATCCATTTATCAACAAAATGCTTCTCGACATTAACGAAGCGGTGCAGAAGATTAAGTCAAATTGCGAAAAAGGATTTATAGGATCCGGAACGGATATAATATCGCTATACAGAATAGTAGAGTTTCAGCTATTCAACCAATTTTTAATTTATCCACCAATGAAAAGATTGAGAGACAAGGAACTCCGTTATGTGTTAGAAGTTATTAACCAAGGTTATGCTTTCCACATAATGAAGGTAAAATCCATGTTAAAGAGAGAACTTGTCATGAAGGAAAAAATTGTGCGTCTTCTAGACACATTTAACGAGTACAGGAATTTATTTGACGATACAGCCATAGATCGACTAGTGCAGATGTTCCTAGAATCACTAGATTGTAAAGATATAAAATGCTTCGACCTCCTCTTCAACAGCTTCATTACACATCGTTACAATAACATAATAATGCAGCTAACGAATAAAAGTGAAACATTTAATGTACTAGGAGAAATATTTAAAAACCCCACAGCATTGACGGACGTACGCGTACAGGTACATGAAACTTATATCGAACCATCCAGAAGACAAAATGTCTATGAAAACTTTCAGCTAGAAAGTGATGTTGTTTTATACCCCAAATTGACATATAATGAATTACTATTCAGTTCACTTGAATTATCTAAAAAAATAGAAATATGGAATTCTATGTATACATTATTTAACATAAGACATATATATGTCAATATTGGTTACCTTCTCCTCGGCGTTAAGCATCGTATTAAGCGGTCCTACAGGGTTTTCCTTCACACTTATAGTTTCCTTGGATGGCTCAGGAAGAATAAGAAGGATGAAATATACATTCCATGAGTTTATGTTAATCGGAATGGAATGCTACATTTGCAATGTGCAGGCGTGTTCACTCCATTTAATTTGTGCCCGCAAAAATGTCATGATTGTTCATACCTTGTTGGTCTCTTTTTCAAACTTATGCTCAGTAACAAAGCACAATGCACGAGCTTTAATTACCTCTCTACATTGTCAATAATCATGTGATACTCATTTTTTTTTTCTTTTTCTTATCAGCATCATGTGAGTGTAGGATGGAAACGACTTTCCGCTTCGTTTTTTTTGTTTTTTAAGTTTTCATTTTTTTGATTTAAGCTTTTTTCGTTACCTTTTCTTTTTTTTTTTTTACATGCATTTTTTTATACCGTTTCTCTCCCGATGAACATTTCACTTACGCTAATGGTTAAAAGAATTTTCAATTTCTTTATAAAAAAAATGTCAATTTAGGTTACCCCACACACACACACACGCACCTGCTCTTGTGCAACAGGTGGGTATGCAACATGTTCTTCCTACGTAGACACGTGTGTTCTTCTAACACATGAGGTGCAAAAAATTGGAAAAGAAGCTTTCCCCCTTTCTGTCGACCCCTGTCTATTAATACTCGCATACTTAGTAAATCACCCTTTGAACGAATTTCCATGTGTGAAGCAATTAAAACTAATTTAGGATAATTTCTTTTCCAAAACGGAGTAACAACATGTAGAGATACGAAGCTAAACCATATTTTCCTCTTCCACTTCCTTTCACGTGAAGTACCATGAAGAGGGGCACGAACAGAGAGGTCAATTTGGCCATATCTATATACCCGTTCAAATTGTAGTGACTCGTTTGCGCTTTCTTTTCTCATTACAAAAAATGGGGCTACCTGGTACCATATAATTAGTTCCCTACTCAGTCGTGACATAATTACTCTGCACATGTATTTGCCAGAAATGATTTTGTCTTCGCGCCTCCGATTTATTTTGCGCTAACTGGGTAAATAAATCCCTTGAGTGTCATGGTTTGGAATTTTTTCTTTTTTTTATATTAAAAATCTCTTTTTCTGCCTGTTTATTGGAATAAATAAGAGCCATTTGAGCGTGGAGAATCCTTCCTGATGTGAAATATCCAATACCACATAGCCCTTGCTCACTTTGAACCCGTTGAAGTGAGTTTTGCGCGGCCACTTATTTACATGCGGTTTCGTAGTGTAGTGGTTAGCACTGAGGACTTTGAATCCTCCAACCCGGGTTCGAGTCCCGGCGAGACCTTTTTAAGAATTAGAAAGGTTCCAAAGTAATAGTATAATTACAAACTGTTCAATTTAAGATTACTCAAAGAATAAATTTAAAATATATAAAACATCTTTATTATTCTGCAATTACAGAAATGTTTTTATTTATTTATACCACGTCTACCAAAAAATAATATTTGGAATTTTTTATCCTAAAATCAGAATAAATTTATCCTCCCCACCCTCTTACCCCCAGAAAACAATAATATAATATTATTAACATCTTTTATAGTACATATTTATATAGTCACGATTTTTTCATTGAACGGCGCATTTTTCTATCTAAAAAAGAGCCAATATTAACGTTCACTCTTGCGCAGGGGTATTAGCACCACTTTGTCATCTTGCGTACCCTTCGAAGGAACTACAGCTTCTTGATACACTGGGGTGGTGACTTCTGCTTCTCATGTATTACAAAATGGAATTTAAAAAGTGATATAACGTGATAAGTCACAGAAATTACTCTTGTGTAACATAGCATATATATATGTACCAAATTTATATTTACAGGAAAAGTTTTTTTTTTCTTTTTTTTTAAAGCCCCCACAGTCTGTACTAGGAAGCCGAAAAATGACTTTTTAAATTGCCATTCGTGAAATGGATAGTTTTTTTGGTGGGGTTGGCACCGTACAGTAGACTTCCAAATAGTGAGAGGTCATCCCTCGTCTGGGCGTTTAAACTGTATGAGTGAAATAGAACACAACACATTGCAGTGTTGAAGAATAAAATATCCTCCCACTTTGTTACGTAAGTAAAGGTAAACGTTGCTATTTTCCCCCTGACCTTTTACAGCCGATCATAATTCATCCACCAAGATGTCACTATTTCCAGATGGCACACAACTTTTATCGTGCCATTCGAAAAATATAAGTCCACACAGAATATGAAACATATTCATAATGGGATTTATTACAACAAACTAGTTGTACACATATTTCGTAAAAAAGGGAAACCCATCCTTTTTCTGGTGAATTATAAGATGCAGAAATCTACTTAATGTGGTCAAAATATAACTCCGCATTTTTAGCTAGCTATTTTTCGCATGAATTATAAAATTAGGTAAAAAAAAAAGCGATGCGGTCAATCCCAATTCAGCTGATAAATATTTCCCATGTCTCTAGAAAGGCTCCTTCTTCTGTAGGCTAACAAAATTAGCTTAAGGCAAAATTTACAATTGTTAATGTACATACATGAGTAAAGAAAGCGAACGTTCCTTGAAATAACAAAAAACAGTCACGTCATTAACTGAAGGTATTGTATATATGTATGGTTAGAGAAA